GGAGCCCATATGAAGTTTATTTAATTAAAAATGTATTAAAAAATAGTCAAAGGTTATGATATTGGTTTAGAAGATGATTTAGAGTTGAAATTTAATGATTTTTTAAGTGATAAAAAGATTATTAATTAATAGGAGGAGGAGGCTATATTGGGGGAATATTTAAGGGTTATTTAGAAGTTTAAGGTTTCTGATTAAAAGTAGAATTTTGTAGTTATTTTTTTAATTGTCTTTTTTATTTTTTTAATGAAAGGAATTTTAATAGGTTTAAATAGGAAATTTTTAATGGCTTTTTGGAGACAAATTTAAAGTTGGGAAAGGAAAAATGTTATTTCTTTTATTTTTTTGGGAATTTTTTTTTTTTTTTTGGATAATTTTCTTGTTATTTTTGTGGGAATTTTAGGAGAGTTTTTTTATCATTTGAGCTTTTATTTAACTTTTTTGGGACTTTTTTGGGCATTTTTTTGGTTTAAAGATAATCAAAAAAGATAATACGGTATTATTTAAATGAGTTCTTTTGATTAAAGTAGTAAATAGGAAGATGAAAAAAATATATAGGAAGATTCGTAAATATAAGAAAATATTGCCTTTTTTTATTTAAAAAAAATTGACTTTTAAGGTTTTATTTAGAAAATTTATAATGATATATTTAATAGTCTATAAAAAAAATATTTTTATTGATTTTTTTCTTTTTAATATATGAAATTTTATACTAGTTTGATGTTTATATCTAATTAAGGTAACTTTATTTAGAGGCTGATGAAAACAGTTTAATTTTGACAATTTTTAATTACTTATTTTTTATTTTATTCATATTCTATCCTAAAATAAAGTAAAATATAAGTCATTAAATATAAAGGAAAGGTTATTATTTCGTATTTTTATTAATGTTTTTATACGATAAAAACGATGAGAGAAGATTTGTCCAAAAAACATGGTTTAAAGTAATCTAAACTAGATTAATAACAGGATTTTTGGTGTTTTTTTTAATATTTAATATATACTAAGCATTTAAAATAATTAGAAAAGGTGAAAAAAAATAAAATTTTATACTATTAAATATTGATTTGATGATTTTTGTGTTTTTTATAGCAGATGATTTAGAAAGAATTTTTATTATTATATTGTTGTTATTTTCTAATTTTATCATAAAGTCGATTTTTTAGGATTTCTAATAATAGTTTCAATTTGTATTTATTTTACAATTTGTTTATTTAATTGTAGTTTTAAGGAATAGTTATATATATATTTGAGTCTTAAAGGAACTTTATCTTTAGATATTAATCTTTAGGCAGGAAATAAGACTGTAGGATGGTATTAGGATGAATATCCTTTATATGCAGGTATTCTTTTTGGTATTGCGAAAGTTTAATATTTTATATTTTGTTTTATAGATTTTTCGTGGAATTTATTAGAAATAAAGGTTTTTGAAAAAAAAAAAAAAAAAATTAAATTAAGTAAAGAAAATTAAAAATTTATGTTTTTGGTTATTTTTAAAAGCTTGGTTTTAGTATTTTAGATTTATTAGAATTTTTTTAAAGTTTAGTTTTTGGCACTATTTATTTTTATGGCTTAAAATTTGGTTTTTTATATAGTTTCATTGCTACCGTTTTGTTTTGTTATTTTTTTTAATTATATTTTTTGAGGAAAAAAATATATAAATATATATTTTTATTTTAATTTTTTTTTATTTTATTTTTTTTTAAATTTTTTTTTTTAAAATTTTATTTTATATATAAATTTTTTTTAAAAAAAAATCTTTTTTTCTCAATATATATTTTTAATAATTTTTTCTTATAAAATTTTATTAATTTTAATTATATGATCTACTTATTATTTATATAATTCATTTCCTGTATATTAAAATAATAATTAATTAACTTAATATAACTAAATATGATTTTCATTATTTCCGTAAAACTCAATTTTATCCTATTTTATTTTTTCCAAAACCTATATATTTTCCTAAAAAAACTCACTTTTTTATTTATAAAATTAAATATAGCATAAAATCAGTTTAGAATTTAAAATTTCAATATGGTTTTCTTGAAACCTTTTTTTTTTAATTTCTAACGCTTTTTCAGCTAAATCAGTGTCCTAGATAACTAAACCTTTCAACTCAATAGCTTAGGCATATGAATAATGTTCTTAACATACATATTTGAGTAGAATTTATATACTTTAATCTAAATACTATACACATATGTCTTTTATATTATCATTATTTTTTTAAAATAGAAAACAATCATTCTAAAAAAGATAAAATTCAACAAATAAAATCAAACATTTAGCGTAAAAAATTGAATCTTATTTAAAAACACATAAACATTTTTAAATTTCCTATTCAGAAAACTAAAAGATAAAGATTTTCTAAAAGAGTTATATTTTATAAAAACTCAACTAAGCAATTTTACTCTTATTATTCTACTTGTCATCTTCATATATTTTGCCTGCTTCAACTATAGAATCACAAGCCTCTTCATAAAAGCCTAAAATAATCTATAAAAAGCCTATATTGACATAATTATTGGCTACTTTTAGATGTTTATCTCCAAAATGACTTTTCCTGGTTAATAAAGTCTGCATATTATACTCTAAAGAGACTAGATAATTTCCTAAATCTAACTCTACTGTGGCTAAATTAGAAATAGTATTAGCGGTTTTAATATGGTATTTCCCATATTAAGAAATACGACTATTTAAGACAAATTCTAGCTTTTCTTTAGCTTATAAATCTTTACCTTATAATTACATTAAAACAGCTATTTCCTATTAAAGCTTAACAACTTCAATGTGTTCTTTTCCGAAATGTTATTCCGTAGAAATTAATGCGTTTTCAAAATATTGCTATGCAAAATCAAATTTTTCTAACTTCCTATATATAATTCCTAAAATGCATAATATATATATAAATGATAAATAAATTCTATATATAAATATTTATTTATGTTCTCTTCATATTTATATATTTATATATATATTTACCAATATATTATTATGTAGTTGAAACTTCAACATGTTTATCTTCATAATAATTTTTTTTAATACTTTCTGCTTTTAAAAAATATTCTAGACTTTTTTCATGATTTTCTTGATTTCGGAATACATTAGCTATATCATGGTATATATTTCCGATTTCAATATGATCATTTTCATAGTTTTATTCCATAATAAAAAGTACTTAATTAAATATTTCTAAGGCTTTTTTATAATCTCCTTCTGTTCTTTTTACACTACCTAAATTATGCATAATTTAAGCTGTTTTAATGTGGTTTTTTCCGTATTATTATTCATAAATTCTCATCGCTTTTTCATAATAGTCAGCTGATTTTTCGTATTGGCAGAGTTTTTCTAAAACTTTTCCCATAAAATTTATAGTTTATGCAACTTCGATATGATTCTTTCCATATTCTTTCCTTTTTATATTAAAAGATCTTTTAAATTAACCATAAGATTATTAATAATGTCCATTTGCCATTTAAGTTTCACCAATTTGATCTAATATAAAAGCCACTTGAATGTCATTTTATCCTAAATTTTTTTCCGTAATTTTAAGAGCTTCTGAGTAATAATTTAAAGCTTGTTCATAATGTCCTAGTTTATTTAAGCATTAACCAATTAGAGTTTTTATTTAGGCTAATTTATTCTGATTTTCTTATGAGATGTTCTATATTTTTAATCCACTACTATCATTTTATATAGACAATAATAAATAGTCAGTTGTTTATTTTTTCGTTAAAGCATCAAATTAGCCCTTTTTTTATGTTAGTTTTATAGTATTACTGGCAGCTAATAAAGGAGTATTTATTATATTTTTATTTTCCTCTTCTTATGTTAATATTTATTTTTGGACATTAGTATTTATTGTACTTTTCTTTTCTTCCTCTTAAATTGATATTGATTATCGGGCATTTAATGTATTTTAACTTTATGATATGTTTACCAAACTTTTTTCGTTAGAAGATATTGTTAATTATTCATTTTTTTAATTATATAATTCTATTTACTCCTCTAATTATTCATTATTGACTATTTTTTAAGATATTTAGATATTTAGTTAATATTATTTATTATTATTTTCGTTACATATGGTATTTGTATTATTATTTTAGTACCATTCATCTATTATTTATTAAAATAATTAATTTTATTATATATTGTCTTATTATTATATATTATCTTATTATTATATGTTATCTTATTATTATATATTATCTTATTATTATTCTTATATATATTAAGAATGGTAATTATTAAAATAAATTTGTTTATGAGAATTTCTATTTTCTTAATTTTAAATTGATATTTAATCTAATACAATAAGATATTTTTATAAAGCCATATCATATTTTCCTTAATTAAAAAGTACTTATCCTATATTTTTAAAGTCATTTATAATATATTCAGTTTTTAATTTCCCTTCTTATTATAAATTACTAATTTTTAGGCTTTTTTCATAAATTTCTAATGATTTTTCATATTCTCCGAAATAAAATAAAGCCTAAGCATATTCATTAAATACAATCTTTTATTCTAATAAATCAAGACTATTAAATTATTAATCTTTGAGTGTTTCTTCGAAATAAAAAAGACATTTTTCCCTCAGATTTATATTTAAATAAGTTTTAGCACATTCTTGTTTTTATTGAATATTTAAAATATCTTATTCGTTTTCATTATATTTAAAAATATTTTCCAAATAATTAAATTATTCATAATCTTTTGTAATTAAATATTTCTAATATTCATTTTAAAAAATACTTACAATATTCTTTTTATTTAAAAGACTTCTTTGAAATTAATCTTAGTTTAATAAAATTTACAAAAGCTAACTCAATCTATTATCCTGGTTTTCTTCATTTATAATAATTAATTAATTCAACATATTTCTATCTATTCTTTTACATTCCCTAATTTTCATTATACTAACTCCTAAACTGAAATAATCATTAGCAATTAAATTATAAACACCCTTGTCTTATTATTAAGAATATAAATAATACAATTCCGGACTCATATATGAAGGAGTTCCTGTAACTGAATGCATTTAAAATTAATTTTCGGGATCGAATTTTTCCACACAACCGAAATCAGCTAATTTCCATCTTTTATCTTTTATCGAATATATTATATTTTAAGGTTTTATATCTTTATGTGCGTAATGTTATTTATGTAGTCCGTCTAAACTTTCTAGAATTTGGAAAAAAATATGAAAAATATCATCTTCTGCAAGTATTTTTTTCTCATTTAAACAAATTTTGAATAAATCATCTAATGAGCCAACTCCTAATTCCATTAAACTAATTAAATAAATTTACTATTGCCCATATTTATCTTGATATATATAAACCTATTTATCTACCTCTAGTATATTTTTTACGCCAACACTAGTCATATATGATTGTATTTAAATTTCTCTTAAATATTATTCTTCTTATTATTACCAATAAAAAGGTAGATTTGTAAATTTTAAGGCTATCTATCTTTCTTTTTTTGGATCAAAAGCTCTAAAAACAGTTCCCTGTCCTCCACTCCCTAACTTTCCTTCTGAACGTATTGTTTTTAAATCCCAAGGTATATTTCCTAAAAATATAAATTATTATATATAATATATATATATATATATATATATATATATATATATATATTGATTTTATATTTTTAATACCATATTTTAAATATTCTATTTCTAATTAAAATTTTTTCTTATCATCTAAAATGTTTTAATTCATTAAATTTTTACTTTAAGATTTATCTTATTTTTCATCTAAATCATCTTCTTCACTTTCTTCTATCATTTCCATTTCTTTTTAATAATCAATTTCTTATTATTATAACTATATATGCATTTTACTCAATGATTTTTCTTGAAACCTAAAAATTTTATTTTTTGAAGAAGAAATAGAAGTAGTAGCTTCTTAAGGAGCTACATTTAAATCTATTTAAATTTCATATATGGGTTTTATATTTTGGAGTTTATCCATGGCTTTTTTTATTTCAATTAAATTATATAGATTATATACTTTATTTTCCTTTTCAAGTATTTTATCTAAATATTATTATATGTTAATGAATAAGTTAAAGTATATATTTATATATTCTATGCTTAGTTTAAATATATTATCATCTTATATGATATATTAGCCTATATAATTTTTACATTTCAATATACATTGAAATGACTCATTGTTATTAATAGGTTGATGCTTTAATAATTGTTCTGATTAACTTAATTCTTGGTAAAAATATATCAAAAAATAATATACTTTTTCACCTTTTAAATATATATATGTATTTTAATATGAGGAATCTATAGTATTTTCATTATCGTATAAACTATAAATTTCATTATAAATTTTTAAAAATTAAATCTCTAATTAATTCATTTGTAAATATTATCTTTTTATTTTTAAAATATTTAAATTTTTTATTTTCTTTACTATATCTTCGACTTGTTTTTATTTTTAAATTATAGACTTTAATTTTTATATTGTTTTGACTATTTTAAATAGTTTTTATTGTTAATTATCATCATTAAATATCTCCTTTTTTTATTATTTATTTAATGGAAAAATAAACAAAATAAAAAAAAACTGTTAGCATTAATGTATGAGGATCTAATATTACTTATGTTTTATTTTATTTTAAATTAAATTATTTATTCACAAATTATTCAATCTAATTATGCTTTTTTTTAAGTAAAAATAGATAAAATATTAACTAAATATTTAAATTTTTACAATATCTTTTTATATGTTATTTAATAGTTCTATTTAAAGATTATTTATTATCTCAATGCCTTTTATATTTTTTTCATAATCTAGAGAATTTTAAGAAGATTGTTCGATATTAGATATTGGATGCTAAATATTATAATATAAACTTATATTAGTATTTTATTAAAAATCTAATTTAATATTATATTTATAATGAAAATTAGATAAAATTTTAAGTTATTAAATACAAACCTTAATTTTATTATTCAATTAAAAATTTAGATTTTCTTTTATTTAAATTTCTAGTAATCGATTCAGATTACATATATTTATTTATAAAAATAATTTTTTTTTTAATAAAAATAATAAAAATATTAATTTATATATAATAGCAAATATTTATTTAAAAATATATGTCGATAAAAAAAAAAAAAAAAAAATATTATTAATATATAATATATATATATATATAAATATATATATATATATATATATATATATATTTAAATATATATTTTTATTTATATTTTTAAAATATTGTCTTTTAAATATTTATTTTATCAAATTTTTTATCTTATTATCATTAATCATTTTTATATTATATCTATATAAAAAATAAAATATTTTCTTTATTAGCATTTAAAATTTATTTTTAATATGTATTATAATATACATTAAAAGTAATTATATTTTATTTTAAGAATTTTATATAAGTAATCTATTTTTTTGTAATTAAACATTTTAAAAAATAATTTATAAAAAAAAACTAGTTAATAAATTTTGTTATATTTTTTATATAAGTACTGAGATTAATAAATATTTGTATATTTTTTTTATTTTTTTTATATCTTAATTTATATTTTTATTAAATCATATTTTAAAAAATCAATATATTTATATCTAAATAATGAATTATTGCATTTTAAATATTTATCTTTCTATATAATTTAATCTGTTAAAATATTATTTTAGTCATTATATATATAATTCTATATATAATATTACAAAATTTATTTATATTTATATTTAAATATTCATTTTTTATTTTTATATAATGTATTAGTGTCGCCATTTTTAGTTTAAAAATTATTATTAATTTTATTTATATTTTATTTACTAATTTTGTCAATAGAATCGTAATCTAAATTTTCGTTTTATTTGTAAGTTGTGAAATATATTTTATTTTACACATAAAAATATATTTATTTATTTTGGATATTTTAAATATAATTTATATTTCTTTTAAAATATTTAATGTAAAAATAAATTATAAACTTAAAAATAATCAAAAAAAATTAGAAAACAATAATATAAATAAATTATAAAATTCTGTGCAATAAGCTATATTTTGCAAAAGTATTTCGGATAAATAACAATTAATTTAAATGTCTAAGAATTTTGCATAAAATTAATTATATATATAGTATAAATTAATTTGTATTATGTAGTTGCATTAAATTAATTAGTTTATTAAAAAAGCAATATTATAATATAAAAAATAAAATTATTATATAGAAAAATAAATTCGAAATAAATTAATTATATGATATCAAATATTAAAATTTAGTATATAAAAAAAATACAATATAAAATTATTATTTATTAAAAATTAATTTGTAATGATATATAAATATTCAGTTTTTATTATTTATATTAAATTTATTAATTATTATTTTCGTATTTAATTTTTTCGATCAATATATATTTATTTATTCTTATTTACATTATTATATTAACTATTTCGCTATTTTTATTTAAAAAAGTATAATAATACAAAATTATTTTAATGTTATTTTGTTGTAAATAAGTAAAACAATAAGATAAATTCTATAATGAAATATTAAAAAAAAAAAAATTTAATTTATATTTTAATTTTAATTTTCTTATTATATGTATATATATTAGTATTTTTTATTTATTTAATAACATATCTTAATTAAAAAAATTTAAAATAAAATAAAATATACAAAATATTTTTATTTTGTTAAATTAAATAAAATTATTTAATTATATTTCATCTATCTAATTTATTAAAATAAGATATTATTTTTATATTTGTATAAGAAATATGTTATTTTTTTACATTTTATTATTTAAAATTAATTGTCATAAATAATTTTTAATTATTTTATATTTTATTTGTTTCTTTCTCTTATTTATATATTTTTACTATAATAAATAAATTCTATTTAAATTTTATTTCCGGTAATAGATATTTTTTTGCATTAGGTGAATAAGTTTATAGTTTTTTATTTATACCTATTCCTGCATGCTCATTTTTTTATTTTAAAAAGAATCTTAAGTCAATTTTTTATAAAATAAAAGCTCTTAATAATTATTAGCTTTTTAGTCTTTATATAATATAAGTAAATTAGAAATTTCTTTTTCTTTAAAAATATCTGTTGATCTTTCTTTTTTATAATCACCTTAGTATATAAGACCATTTTTATATATTTAATTTTAAATATTTTTATAAGAATAAGGTCATCTTTATTAAAGTATATATTTCTATTCTAATTATATGTAATAATTTTTATATTATTATTAATTTTAATGCTTATATTTTTATTTTTTATTATAAAAATATATGTTTACTTTTAATATTTTAATTTATTAAAATTATTTTATTTAAAGATAAATAAAAAATTATTATAATTTAATATAAAAATAATGAAAAAATTTTATTTTCTGAAATTTATTGTAATTATTAAGTTATTACAAATAGAATATCATTTAATAATAATAAATTTAATATTTATATGCTTTAATTAAATGATTTTTATATAATTAAAAAAATATATAGATTTTTTATATTTATTATGATTTTTAATGTTTTTTATTTTTAAATAACTAGAAAGATTATTATTTTATAATATTTCTAGGTCTTTCTATAAAATTTAAAGTATATATAAATTGATCAAATATGAATAGTTATATAAAAAAGTAAATATAAGTATTTTATTATTCAATTTTTTTGCATATAAATTAATAAATATAGCATTTTATCATTAAATTAATTATTATTGCTTATTAAAAAAAGATAAACAAAGTTTAAATATTGATATAAAAATAAAATAAATTGCTATTATTAAAAAAGGTAATATATATACTAAGTAACAAAAAAT